ACCAAAATTCATCGAGGACAAGTATAATGAACTGACAGAGAGTACGTACGTACTCTAATAAAAAAAACTAGTAACACGAAAAACGTGTTGTAAATTTGATTGTACTCACTGCAACAACATTATGTCTCCATTTCATCTAAGCAGATCTACCATGCACGCTAAGTAAATACAACAAATATAGTATAATAAATAAAAGAATTTGCGGTAATTATTTAGTGACAATAATATAATTGTTTTTATATTATAGTTAGCAATAATAAATATGGGTATGGATAATCAACATTCTATATAAAATGTCATGCAATTACATAATCTGAAACATTAACATAATTATCGCTAAATATTTTTGTGGCAATAAAAAATTATTGTCATAATATGATGGGATAAGGATAATAGTTTTGAGATAAATGTTGGAATTAACTTTATTCCATATTTAGTTTGAAGTATCAACTATTCTCGAGAATATTTTATCCCACTGTTTATACTAATTAATATGATGGATTAATTACCATCTCATATAGAATGTGAGATAAAATAATCTTATTCCGATTGCATATCAAAAGAACAAAAATAAAAATATTTAATGTCAGGTATAAAGTATAATAATTTCAAGATAAAATGTAGGATCATTTTATTCTGCGTGTGGTTAGAGTATTAGGTAATCCTTAGATCGTTTATTCCACCACTTATACCTTAATGATGGGATAGATTATCCTATACACATGATCAAAATAATTTATCCTGAAATAACTTATCTCGAAATAACTTTTTCCCAACTAAACAACAGATCAGTATAAACGATTTTGAGGTTTGAAAATTCTCATCTAAACTGTAATTATGACAATTATTCTCACCTTCAATTGTTTATCGTTTTCTTTTTCTGTCACGAGTTAAAATTTTAAGCTAAGTCATTGATCAGATGTCAGTAGAATTTTTTCCACAATGTGGTTACAAAAATCTACTTTAATTTCCTTTTTAAATTAAGAGAAGTCCTTTTCGTTTCCCTTTTAAAACTGTGTCAGAAAGGCAATTTCATAGCTAGATCTTCTCGTCGTAAAAAGTTGAATGCCATAAATATTTGTTACCATTTCATATGACATAATCAGAGGCGGAGCCAGGATTGGGTTCTAAATATTAAAATTGAACAACGATCTTAACCTAAAGTACCAAACATCAAATTTTGAACATTTTTACTATAATCTTCAATATTGTTCTAAGTGAGGTTAAAATTATTAAATTCACCATTAATATTTTGTCACCTAAAACAAATATTTTACTAGTTTCACTATCACCTTGAAACGTTACTACCCGTTTGCCACCAAAAGTTAAAATTATCAATATGTGGGATAATCCTAGAATCAAAGATTAAAAATCAAGTTTTGAATAGATAATCATACCATGTAAAAGCAAACAAATAAGAAAACAATGAAAAGGGAGAGACAAGAATACATACCGGAGGCCAGATTTCGGACCGTAATAATTAGATCAACAATAAGTTAGAACCCTAACTTTTAAAAAGAAAAAAGAAATTGGGTTAACTTTTTTTAATGTCGGATTAGAAATCAATAGTCAGATGTTGTATTAGAGTACAAAACAAATACTTTTTTCCTATTATTTACAGATTTTTTTAATTATTTTTTTACATATACCCACGTACTTATTGTATTAGAGTACAAAACAAATACTTTTTTCCTATTTTTTACATTTACAGATTTTATTTTTATATAAACCCACATGAAATTATCCCAAAAATAAACTGTGGATGGACAGATACCACTGGACCAATCGTTTCATTGTGCTTGTGGGTTCGCAAGAAACATATTTATACATTTTATTTCATATTTTTATACAAATATAGGATCTACGAAAAAGCTAGTGAATTTGGCCGAAGCCCCTTCCGAAACAGTAGCTCTGCCGCTGTACATAATTGTAGGGACATTACTTCGAAAAAAATGCACTTTATGTTTGATACATGCACTTGACCTATCTCATGATCATCACAAACTTTTTCACGTTTAAGTTTTATATACCGACATAATTAATCTGCCTCACTAGTACATATATATAAAATAACACTTAACTCTTTATAGAAAGTATCATGACTTGATAACATGAAGAATAATAACATGATATATAGTTTGTAAGTTAAATTATATTGGTAGTGTAAAAATTGTTGTCTTCGCCATCCTAACTTAAATCCAACAATATCTAAAGCAAGAACACTTCAAAAGAAATCAACAACCAACTTTTAACAATTCTAATTTCAATGTACTCATGATGGTTCTCTAGAATTTGTAAACTTTCAAAACCCTACTTATATACATATTTCCAAAAAAGATTACCTTTTTGTCTAGTGTTAAGGAGCTGTTTGGCACTTGGGAAATGCACTTTCTAAAAGGTATTTCCATCCACCTTCTCAACCAATAATTTCCAAACTCTTATGGAACACACACTATCAACATGTTTGGGAAAATAATATGAAAATATTGTTTTTTTTCAACAATTTATTACTTCCTCCGTCTCATATTAGTTGATCATTTTTATTTTTACATGTATATTACAAAATCATAAATAAAAAGATAATTTTACTAATTCACTCGTTAAAAAATATCATGAGAATTTTACAAACATATGTGAACACTTTTAAAAAAAGTTAATTAGAAGGGTAATATAGAAAAAAAAAATTAATACTTTCTTGATTTAGTAAGATGTACAACTAATATGGAATAATTATTTTTATTAAAATAATCAATTAATATAAAACACGGGAAGAAGAGTCAACCAGACATATCATTTCAGTCTAAAAATGATTGCGCACCTTATCATATATATACGACTTCAAAAAGGTGTCCACTTAATTAGTGGATGATTGGAACATATGTCAAAAACAATTTGAATTTGAAAAGAAAAGAGAAGAAAAATATTACAAAAAAAAAGAAAAACTTTTAGAGTGCAATATATACCCTTTTTTTAAATTTTTTTTTCCCCTTTTTTATGATCAATTCATGACACCTAAATTATGTTGTGCTTATATTACATCGTTAAATTCTTTTGTCGGTGTCTATTATAACCTCTATGACCAAATTTTGGTGAGAGGTGTTTTATGTGTTAAAAACAAGATATTGAATTATTCTAAAGGACATATAAAATCGGTCAATTATTAATAGAACTCTCTAAAAAGATTATATCTATATAATATTGGATGACATTGTTTGATTAACCAAAAGACATAATACAACGTCATTTTAAAACATTACAATCATGAAATAGCTAGCAATTCTTGATTTTAATCCGCAATCTTAGATTAAGAAGTCTAAAACCTCATAGCACATTTACTTTTTTCATGTATTTGAGTTGCAATTAATTTTATTAATTAATATGATCTAGCAGGTAGTTGTAATTTGCTCATTAGCTTATTTTATATGAATTTCAATAGGTGGCTTTTTTAAGTTTGAAATAAGAGCCTGCTATATGGCTTTTTAAAAGTTGAAAAATGGAGTTTTAACGAGTGAGAGGCAAATATAGTATTAGAATAAATGCAAGGGTATATTTTTGAAGAAGTATAATTGATGAAAAATTAATATAATTTATTTTCAATAGTAGAGAGGTAAATATGATTCTTTTTTTTTATTTCCAAAAAATTAAAAAAAATAACTTTTAATAATTTGATTTAGTTTATATATCTATAAAACCAAATCAATACGATTGATTTATGTACGCCCCACTAGATGGCCACTCTCCTTAAAAGAAGCTGGAGTTCAATTGGTTGAAGTATGTATGTAATTATCAACAATAACTCACACCTTTCAATTTTTTTGGGAAGAGTACATCAATTATTTTCAGAAAATTTAATGAGAGATGTAATTATACATGTTCACTATTAATTTAAAGTGGTCCACTATTCCCTTCTAAATAGTAGCAACAAAAAAGTTCCTTTTTTGTCATAAATTTGATTATAGAAAATGTATTAAAATGAGGAAATAATTGGTGTTTACATACTTCAAAATTGAAACTGACATTTAGATGAATATTTATAGATCATTTATTGAATTGAATTTGGTGTACGATGTGTAGGAACAAAGGCCTTGGCTTAGGATCCTTTGCCTATTATCTTGTGGCATTTATCTGTATGCTATAGCTGGCATGCCCTCCCAACTTGTAGGAGGGTCCTCTTACGAATTTATGTGAATTTAATAAATTTTGTTTTATTTGTATTATATTTCACTATAATAACTTTTTTTTAAAAAAAAAAATCATTCACTACAATAACTTAGTGACTTTTGGAGTAAATTTTTCATGTTATGTTATACAGTCAAACCACTTTATAACGATATTGTTTAATAAGATATATTTTGATTGATAATATAACGTAACATGAAACTTTTTGGAGGTATAGTAATATATTGTTTTAAAGGATTATTGTTATAGAGAGGTTTTAACGATATTATAAGTTTTCTATAACAATATTTCATTCAAATGGCTAAAGTATATTCGACCAAAGAACATTGCTATAAATACTTGACTATATAAGTATTTACTTATAAACGGCAAACGCGATCATTAACTTGACATCGTCATAACTCATAAGAAAGTATTTACTTGTAACCTGGTCATTATTGTATGTAGTAATAACTTGAGATCGTCGTGAGTAAATATTTACTTGTAAACCCAATCATTATCACACCTATAGTCTTAACTTAAGATCATTATAAAATCCGTAAACTTAAAATCCTGAATCGGTCTTAACCCACCCCCTAATCCCTCTCTCTTTTTTGTTGGTTTTCATTAGCATTATTTTTCTTTTTACATATTTTAAGATCTAAAAAGTACTAATAAGAGAATGATAAGTAAACTAGGGCTTTGAGCAATTTAATGCTTTCTCAGTTCCATTTAAGTAATAGTACTTGACTGAACAAGAAGCTAAAAATACCTAGATAACTTACAGTATGATATTAACAATTGTGAAAAAAAAAAAAATTAAAATAGATTTGACAAACCAATTGAAGAAAATATTACTTCAATTTCTCATAAGCTCAGAAGTCCAACTGAACAATAATATGTATGATTATTGAAATACATTTAACATAAACAATAAAACAGAACTAAAGGAAGCCTAACTCCCTTATATAATCATCCCTAAAGCAAAAAAAGACCAGTGGTCTTTGCTGCAAAAAATTACTGGGATATGATCAAACATACAAGCATTTTACAGACTTACTGTTGGTTACAGGCCACACGATGCACGTTTGGCTCATCATCGTCCGAGTCATATGCTTCTTGATGTCTTCGCTGATCCTTGCGCCTCATTTCTTCCTCAATGTTGACGTCGTGCATAATAGTTTCCTCACACTCATCTAAATTTGTTTCTGATGAGCTTTTCCCTGGTCTTGATAGTAGAATAGTCTCTATGCTACGGCATGTGTCGGGGGAAAGAACCCCTGATTCTGGAAATACCACATCAAAATGGATATAAAGCCGTCCCTTGATGAAAGGCTTGCCAAAATTGGGCATGCCTTCATCATTTATTGCCTTGTAATGATCTGCAAAAGACAATCGAATAAATATATATACCTGCTGCAAAACCATAAACCTCGCACACCGCCCCCTCGGGCTTAAAAGCCTTTTCGTCACACCACTTACTTAGACCAATATGGCTCGTCACCACTTACTTTGACATACTTCTCAACGATATTTCAAGCTTGAATTAAGGCTTTGAAGGCCGTCTCTTCTCACTGACAAGATGGCACACAAAGGAAGCACATGCTTACCAGGCTTTATAACTTCTCCAGGGTTCGATTTGATTAAAAGCTGCCTCCCATCAAGATGAGTTAGGACAAACTGAAAGCCACAAAGAGCTTCAGTCAAAGTAAGTGTATGTTCCATATAAAGATCATCAAACTTCCGCTTGAACTTTGGATGCTCCTTCTGTTGTAGAACAAAAACAATGTCTCCAGTGATGATATCGGGCTGCAGAACAACAGTAAGACTGAAGTGTGAACAGACAAGTCATCAGCCAAAGTGAAACGGGCAATGCATAGAATGGAATGGGGAAGCAAATAGCTCGATATATTATTTTAGGAGGTGTTATATAGTCGATTCAAATACCATACTAATTCCAGGGTTCAAGACTCATATATGTTGAGGCACATTTAACATGTATTTAATATGTAAAAGGAATTGCAAGAGAAAACCAACCAACTACACTTACAGCTTGATCTGCTTCCCCTTCGAAAGTTATCTTCTGGTTATGTTCCATTCCTTTCTCAACATTCACTTCCAGCACCTTCTTTTCTTGTGTAACTTTGTTTCCTTTGCACTGTGGGCACCTGTCACTGTCACTGATAACCTCTCCTGCATCAACACGGTAAATTTCAAGGATTTACCAACTCCTTGTTTTACATTTTTTCCCTTTCTCTGTGGATCGGGAAAAAAGGGACACCACTAACTTTTTCATGTTTGCATTGGTCACACAACACGGAATATTTTCATTAACTACCTGAGCCTCGGCATTCAGGACAAACATGTTGCATCTGTTGGATCATTCCTGGAGCGATCTGCCTTGTTGTAACACGCATTCCAGTGCCTTGACATCCATAGCATGCCCCAGATGCTCCACTCTTTGAACCTTTCCTGATAACCAGTGGACCAGTTCCTCAGTTCAACTTACACAGAATTTTTAGAGAACGACTAAATGCATTTAATTTATTTCCAACAATTTTCTCATGCCTGTTTAATCGTTCCAATACTAAACAAAGATTTTGTTATTTTCACAACATGTCAATAATGAAACACATTTTTTTCTATTTTGAAAGGGTTATGTTACAATTCTCTGTTAATCCAGAAAAATGCACGCCCACGTAACTACCTGCCCCACACAGCCTAAGATATGAGGAGCACTACATCAAATTAGAAAGATGTATTCACAAGATTATCCTAATAGATGATAGGTATACAACAAATATCGGAACTGATATAGAGGCCATATGAATCAAATAAAAATTAAAAATGAACGCAAATAAAGAAGCACCCATTGACACTAGCAGCATGGAGACACACAACTTTTCTTTCATAAGTGTCAACCTTACAAAGAATAGATTCAATTTTTAATTTTTTGGATAAAAGTAAAGACCAAATAAAATTGCATGCACCTCGACTAATCCACAGGATACCTGCTGTTGCACCCCTTTTCAAAACCGGTTTAAGTTGAAGTGCACGGTTTTGCAAGGGTATCTACACCTGCCACCTCCCACCAGTACAGACTACAGGTCGCAGACAAATTTATCCATCAAGGCTTAGGTAGAGGCAAAGAAATGACCTAGTAATTTTCGTCTCTATTAAGATTTTAACACTAGTTTCCCAAGCCTTTCCAACATCATTAACCACTAGATCACACAATAATGTGTCAAACTTAAGCTATTTGACGCATTGAAGATTACAAAAGCATCCAAATTAATTCAAGGTGCTAAAGGAAAAATTTACTAACTTTGTGTTCCTAGATCTGTTACCATAATGATTGGAAGATGTAAATGGACATAAAGATGTCACATCGAAGTTTAAATCGTATAAATAATTATTGTAGACTACTTCAACATTTTTAATATTGATTTGGTCATTCCAGGAAGGAGGTATTATTCTTGCAAAGGACTAAAATAGAAAGCAAAGCAAAGGAAAGGAAATAGTCTAGCAGTAAATCCAAAAACTAGAAGGTATTCTTTAACAAATTACTATTTAGCACCACAAAAAAGAAAGTAGAAAGTTAGAAACAGTGTCACGTTGTGGAGTGAAACAAGTTCCTGAAAAGGAAAAAATATGAAGGTATCTAGGTCAGTTGTTAGACACATTTGCTAGTGTCGTAGTTGGCCTCATATACAAGTCATACTTGCAGCCTAACTAAATGTGGCATTTGTATTTCTAAGTAACACAAAAACAATCTGCCGCAGATTTTTATTTTTGAATGGGCAAGAAGTACAAAATTCACTTGGAAGAATGTATCAATAAAATCCTTGTTCACTAGGCATCAAAATAACCTAGATAATTCTGTGTCATCTTGTGACCTAATATAGCTTCAACAACAATCGTCAATCAAATAAGAAAAAGGAAAGGAACAGTTATCACTTCATTCAAAATTCATTGGACAGAAAGAACCATAAAAGCTTTCACTCCTCCAACAAGTCTAGTTTATACAAATTTCTACATAACTATATGCCCACACACTTTCTGGAATCTTGATCCCCCAGTTCCTTCAAATATTCACACACAGGCCAAGTGAAAGAAATTCAGTATCGATGTTCAGCCTTAATGAGAACAATTCAAACTCAAAAGACAAATTTCATCATTTAACTTAATACAACTTTGAATCCTAGGTCATATAAGCAATAAATGAACATCGGGAAAAGATACGTTGAGATAATCAGAGAGAGAAAATACCCTTTACACTTGGGACACAATATACTCCGGGAAAGAGAGAGCTTCTTTGTGGTGCCATTATACAAATCTTCTAGAGAAACCCTAAGCGTATGCACTACATCTTCACCTCTCTTCTGTCTGCTAGCTCTGAAGCGGCTGCCTCCACCTGAAACAACCAAGGCCAAATAAACATGCCGTACAACAGAATTAAATCCATAAAATGGAGTCAACAGCCATCCAGTGCGCTATTTCTATCTACCATCTAAGAGAGAGCAAATTTCTTACCACCAAAAGACCCACTAAAGAATGATTCAAATATGTCAAAGTGATTGTGAACACCACCACCGCCACTCCCCATTCCTTCTTTCAGTGCATCTTCACCGTACTGATCATAAATGTCTCTCTTCTCTGGATCACTTAGAACTTCATAAGCCTGAGCCAACTCCTTGAACTAAGAAGATAGGAAACAAAGATAAGTACAAGACAAGAAGCAAATGCCTAGAACTTCCCCCTTCCACCTTGCTTTCTTCGATCACTTATTGGCACATCCATACGTGCATGCTGCATCATAATTAAAAGGGCGTAAAGTAAAGAAGACCTATGTATCAATGAACTGTCGTGTTCAGTTGTTCACGCATTAAGCTCGATTTTATTAGTGGCTTGAGGGGAAACTGCCTTAAAAAGCATGCAGCGCGCAAGCTGGCCCAGGCACCACTATTATCCAAAAAAGAAGAAACATGCAGAGCATCGGAATCAAAAGGTTCCATTGGTGGTATGACATATCTGGACCGGCAATATGAAGTAGGATATGCAACTTACTTTCTCGGGGTCACCACCCTTGTCGGGGTGATTTCTTATGGCAGCTTTCCTATATGCCTTTTTAAGTTCATCCTGACTGGCACTTTTTGAGACACCAAGAACCTCATAGTACTTGGAGTTGTCACTCCTCCTTGGAGCCCGTCCAAACATAATGGCTCAACTTGATGCCTGCTTCAGACACAGAACAAATAAATTCAGACAGCATTTAGTAAGTTACATACCAAAACAAGAAAAGAGTGGGAAGTTTCATATGGAACATGTATAGTAAAGAGGCAATTTATGAGAACTGATTAAAAGTATAGTTTCGTGGAGAAATACTAACTGCAACAAGTTAAAGAATAAATGGAGAAACTTTATCTACTGTTGATATATATTACTGAAAATGAAAGCAAAGAACTTGCAAGGATTTTAACCACAACAGCTACAAAAAGAGTAAATTTACTTTCATGGGTAAGCTTAAGACATTATATCGATACATATAGACAGATACAGAGGAGGGAGCGAGAGAACCAAAAGGATTAGTCTGAGAGAGTTTTCATCAAGAATGTAGGCGTAAGGTGACTGAGCTTATAGCTACAGAACCTTTCTTAATGGTTTAGGGCTCCTTTCCGAAGATATTTGAAAACTTTCAACAACTTTTAACATTATAGAATCATAATCTCTTTATTTATACAATCTTCAGCACAGAAATATAAACACCTGAAGCTCGTAGCTGTATTTCGAGAAACAATTCTTATTTCAAAATTGAATAAAAGACTTCAACCTACAAGACAAAGACGAGGTCAGTTTTTCTTGTCGATTAGACACCAGCAAAGTGCAACAGAATAAAGATCTCAACAATCAAGACAAACAAGGTCAGTACAAAACTCACTGACAAAAAAAAAAAAACAAAGTAAATAGGCAAAGAAATTAATGCAAACTTAAAATCACCAGAACTCAAATCATCTCTTTTTCTTTTGTGATGAATTCATCAGAAATTAAATCATCTTGAAACTATTTAACCAAAGAAAAAACTCAATACTGTATCGATAGCCCCTATAAGAGATTAATAACGACATTAAAACATGTGCCGAGAGCCATGCAAAATGCAAATCAATTTCAGCCTTGAGAAGGTGGAAAATGCACACAAGCCAGCATTGGCTCGGTCTGGAAGCAACATCCATTTTTCAATCCTTATGCAGCAGGACTGCAGGAGAAATATTCTAAGATCCATCCTGATTGTCAGCCCGTCAAGTTAGTTAAGTTAAAGCTCTAGCAACATTTGTGACCCGAAGGGAACCATATATTATTCAGTTATACACAGTACTAATCCAGCTTGCATTACTTGAGCATATATATTACATAGTAAATGACAAATAAAATCATTAAGCTTCATTTTTTCTTTCTTTCCCTAGATCAAGAAAAACCATGAAGACAGAGACAGTACACTAGGTGACTTGGTGGAGAGAGTTACCAGCAGAAGCAGAGCCACCTTATGCTAAGGGGTGTAATTGACACCCTTCGTCGGAAAACTACCCTGTTTAACTAGGTTACTATATGTTACTCCCCTTATTCTTCAGGTGTATCTACTTTTTCAAAATTTTGACACCCTTAGTAAAATCGGCACCGGTTACCCGTACCTATGTGGGAGGTTGTAGGTACCTGATCAACCTTCAGACCAGGAAAAACACACCAAGTAATAAAGAAAGCAAGGGACTTTGCAGTTGAATAAGTGAAAAAAAGAACCAAAGGCAAGATATATTACACAAAAACAAGCAAACCCCAGTTCAAAACATACAACAGCAACATCAAACTCAAACACAAATTCAAGTTTTCCTCCATTAAAAAATCAAGAAACCATACTCATCAATCAAGAAAAAGATTAAAGATTGAAACTTTACATCCTCCAATAACACATATCATGACCAACAAGCATCAAGAAACCCAAAATTAAAGTAAAGAAGCTATACAAAAAAGTACCTTGACAAAGAATTTCTAGAGAGAGAGAGAGAGAAAATGGGGAGTTGCTTGAGTGTCCACCTCTCTGACATAAAGAAAACTGCTTGTCAAGAGAAGTTGTGCAAAATGAAGAATGGATTCCCAATGGGGTCAAGTATAGTTTTGGTTGTTAAGCGTTTGATATTCACGTTAAAATTTCATTAAATTAAAATTGTTCCAAGATAATATTTTTATGATGTCTTTATTAAAGAAAAAACAGTATGGTTCACTGTATAATATACATTCTTTGATAGTGATAATAATCTGAAATGAATGAAAAATCATGTATTTCCAATTTTAAGGATAATATTATTAGAGAACATCTTCAGAAATAAGTTTGATGATTGCTTAAAATAAATATAGTGATAGATTGGCGGGTGAAAAAAGTAGTATATGATTATGTATTGTTGTATAAAAAATAAAATATAAAGAACAAAAATATGTGTATCAATAATATGACAATTAATTATTATTCTTTTAAAATAAGTAATTTATGCATAATAATTTTTTATTTTTTTTAAGAATCGTTATTATTAATAAAGTCAGAATTGTTATGCGATGATTTAAAATAAAGGAATTGTTATTGCCGCAATCAATAATATAGAGCTAGTTATACGATGATTCAAATAAAAAAATTGTTACGTAGGAATTACTTGTTTCACATTCTATTGGCATAAAATAACTTTATATATTTTAATATAAATATTACTGATATCATCAATCAATACCTTACATAAACCATATAAAAGATTATTTGTTAAACCCTTTAACAAACCTAGATAGATCTTATACAAGATTTTCATGTCGTTAGTTTTAAATATAATGTAGAAAGAATTATCCCCAATATGCAATAATGCAATGTTTGATTAAGGTTTATGAATTATTCATCTTAACAAAAATTATTGCATAAAATTATACATTTTGTAGGTATTAAATAAATAATATCCGCACTAAATAATGTGAAAACCTATTGTGTCATAGATGTGGAATCAAAATAGAATGTATTAGCAATGTATGAACTAAACTATTTGAAGATATAAATGATTTTCTAAAAAAATTAATTCATATATAACATTTTCTTAGTACAAATCACTGCTTAATATTTATGTATTCACTGGTTAACAAAGTCGCACTTCATGTGATTATACATATACATATTAAACAAATAAAAAGGTTAAAATATAAATAAATAAATAAATAAAACGTAATATAATACTTGTGTATGATAAAAAAAAAATCTGATGTATGATCACAAAGATATACATAAGAAAAGATCAAACTAAAACGAAAAATCAATAAATAAAAATATTAACTACTTTCTTATAATTTCATAATTACAAAGTTTTCAAAGAACACTCCTCTCAATTTTAAAAATGAATTTAAACTATTAGTTTATAGATAAAACTATATTGATTCATGTGATAAAGAAGCAATGACTTTTTTGCTCTTCCAATGAAATAGGTCAATAATTTTTAATTACTTTTTATTGAAAGTTGAAATAGGTCATTAAGTAGATTGCAGTTAATTTTATCTGTAAAAATTAAAAGGCAACGTGTAGTTATAGTTTAGTTCATTTTTTCAATCAAAGAAAGAAAAATTAGCTAAACAAAAAATTTTAAAAAATTGTGATTTAAAAACTGAATGTCAAGTGCAATCGTCATTAGACAACATATTTGATTAAATTAATTAAAAAAAATACACTTCTAAAAAATTGCGTAGTAATTAACAAACTTAAATGATTTTATGTGACAATTTTTTTTAAAAAATAAATTAAATTATGTGATAGTGTTAAAGTTAGATGACTTTGATGTGATATAAAAAAAAATTAAAAGATATTTTTTTGTGTATAATCCCTAAAGTTAAGTGACGTTTGTGTGACAAAAAAAAAAGTGATTTATGTGTCATAAACACAAAATTGAATGACTATGAATGCAATTTACTCAATAAAAATTACAAGAGCTAAAAATTTCATTGCATTATCTAATCTTAAAATATAACTTTTAACTAACTTTAACTCCTAGGATAAAAAAAAACAAAATTAGCATTATGTATACATTTATTTTTCTCTATATATAGTGTAGTAGAGGTGCATTATTTTAAAGCAAAACAGTTTTCGACTTCTTGTATTCTTAAATTTTCTTTTACCTAATTTAACATTATGATTTTTTTGCATGTCAGTGAAATTGAAAAAGATATCTTCAACAAAATGATGTCTATGAATTTTGAAATTGATTCATCCAAAAAAGTGATGTCTGTTTGGATGTTTTTGAAATCCTACAATTTTAATAGTTTTTATGAAAAAATTTCTACTTGTGATGAAATGGTTTTTAAAAATCTTTTTGTTGAAGCTAAGAGCGTTTTAACTTTTCTTGAATCAAGCTCATCATCAACTTTTCAAGATGTTTGTCCACTCACTTCTCAATGTTTGAACTCTTCTCTTAATGAAATTCTTTTGAAAAAAGAAAAAGTGAACAATCAAGTTTCATTAATCTATGATATGATTTGTTGTGATAATTTTAAAGATTCTTTCGTGGAAATGAATTTACCATCGGATTTTAAACTAAATCCTTTGGCCAAAGAATGGTATCCACCCATAAAAGCTCATGAGATACATCGTTCTCTGTTTATGACGTTGACTCCTAATCCTTTCTCTAAGAGAAAAATATTTGATTTCTTTCAAAGGTACACATGCTTATTATAAGAAAATGTAAATAGATTTTGAATCTTCATATATATATCGTACTTTTTAATTATTATTATTAATTTTCACTATTTTGTTTCTACTAGCTATCTGTATAGGTTGTTTGGACCAGATAGTGTGCATGCTGTTTTTATATACCACAAAGGAGGAGTCAGAGCCAATTTTGGAAAAATTGTGTTTAAAAACTCATCTATTTGTGCTTGGCTTTTGCAAGGAAAAGAAGCAAAATTTGCTATGGAACCAGGATGTATTTGGCTAAGAAAGTATATACCTAGGCAATAATTATATTATAGATAGAGAAGTTTAGAAACGGACACCTCTCAATCGATGTATCTGCTTTTAGCCAAGGACATTTCTACAGTTTCGTTATGAATGATGATGTATTATCTTTTATTGTTTGAAAAAAATTTAATGAACTTCATCAATTTTCATTTTATTGCGATTGGATTTATATTTATTATGTGAGATTTATTTAATACATATTGTAATGCCTAAACGATATGTTGATTTTAAGATATGTACCTAAAAGAATATTCGTATTTTATTCATTTTAAATGTGAATAGAGAAAAAAATTAAAAGAACAATAAAATAATAATCTCATAGATTCGATATTGTACACGAATGATTTGAATAGCAAACTTTTGACGATGAAAATGGTCATGTCAAATTATAAATTTGAAACATGGTTAGGTTAGATATATAAAGAAAACTAATTGTACTATGACATTTTTATGATTTCAAATCATAATTTCATCTTATATATGGTCAAACAGACATTAATAAAGATTTACTTTGATTAAAAATTCAGTAAAAGAATGGAGAATATTTACTCTATTTTTCTATCATCACAAGAGAAAAATATGTATGAATATATAACTCAATTTATAAAAGAGGACAAATGATAAATAAATAATAATCAATTAATAATTAGCCTTTAAGGCTATTCAACAGCATGGTCAAATCTTTTTACAACGTGTTATTCATACTTTTTTGAAATTTTTTCAAACCTAATTAATGTTTATTAACCATCATAACTTATTTTAATTAAAGAAAAGGATAAATAATAATAAATAACAATGCTACTAAGATGATTAGCCATTAAAGTTACATTCAACAAGGTCAAATTATATTACAACGATATTACTCAGACTTTAAAATTAACCAAAAATGATTAATGTTTATTAATCACGGCTAGTAAAAGGATAAAGAATATGGAGAATGGTCTAAAATGTCTCTCAATTATTTGAATTAGTATAAAATTATTCTTCATTCACTTTTCGGCCCTCAAATACCTGCATCAATCTTTTATCTAAAAAATACTCTCGATGTTAACTCTTTGCCTCATATTTGCTCTTATTTTTAGTAGTTATCTTAAAGTGAAATCATTAAATTTTTATGTTGTCTAATTTGATTGGTCCAAATTTAAACTCTTCTCAAATAAATAATAAAAATCACATATGATTCATATTTTGACCCTATATGCTTGAAAATAATATGTAAAAAAATAATTAATTTCATGATATCTTTCTATTGGTTTATCTTAAACCAACCCCGATTTACTATAACCAACACATAACTGAGGATCCAACTAAAATTGGTACTCGCTCCATCTGACTGACCATGTAAAAAAAGATTATTATTTTAATTAATGTATTTTTTTTTCTAACAATTATCCAATTATCTTGTTCATTTCCTCTTTTTATAATCACTTATTTTTAATTGGGATATCAAAGACTCAAACTTAAAATGAACTTACATGTTCATTTTTTTAAATTGTATTATTATCATGGTGGGGATGGGAGTGGTGATAGGAGAAAACAATATTTTTATTCTTTTATTTTAAATTTTGGATAAACACAAAAGAAAAATGCAGTATACGTACATAATTTCTTAATTGAGTCATCTTTTATTGGACTAATTATTTCTATATGAATGTCGTCGTTTTTTCTCTTTTTCTCTCCCGTGTTTTGTCATAAGTTGAAAAAATTAAGATTTAAAATGATGGACTAGATTCAAGAAAAAAAAGTGGAAGAGAGAGGAAGTGAATTGGCAGGGGAGGGTGGAGGTGAGTGTAGAGAGTAGAGGATTTTTTTAAAAGAAATTTATATGAAAGTCAAAATCAGGTCAATCATATGAGCTTATAAATTAAGTAATTTCAAATTATTTTAACGGAGAAGGTTTAAGATGCCCTTAAACTACGAGACCCAGTATGCCCTCTATCAACCTTTTGAGTGTGGATCATTAAAAATAGGGGTATTTTTTAGTCAAAACTCAAAAGATTGATGATCATAGATATTTGGGGGCCAAAAGGTGGATGGAGGATAATTTTGCATAAATTCAAATAGTTAAGGTTCATTTTAGGCCCTTCTCCGCAAAAAATATGTTATAATTTATTTTATGTAAAAAATATTTTTCAACAACACCCAACATATTTAAAAAACATTATTAAGGAATAAAACGACATAAGAAGTTTTGTTAGATTTTTTACATATGAATACAATACGTTGAATTTGATGTCTTGTAGTTTATGAATCAAACCTAGATAACACAAGATTTAATTTATAGAATTATTGGTGAAGTTTAGAACTTTAATGAGCCAGTTTTTCCTATAAGCTCAATGGCTTATTCTAGTACATTATATTCGTATAATCCTTGTCGTTATCATGATTTTGCGCTAAGAAATTATGAGTATGTCCTGATATTCATGAGTGCTCTAGAAATTCGTCACAATTTCATAGAAGCGACACCATTCCACACTCACATAGGTCCAATCATCAAGTGTATTCTGTAAATCAGTACACCATCTATAAAAGATATAAATTGAATGAAAAACTTAATTCAACTTCACTTGTTTTGAAGTATTGCACTATGTTACACATTATAGGAGGAACATAATTTCATCATATTCGATCAACTAATTACTTGTCAGTGTCAGTGCTCATATGAACCTAATTCATGAGATCTTCAATCACATACATTGAATTACCATCATGGCATCATTATTAATTTTCTCAAATTAACAAAAGTCACACTACTCCTGATATTTCTTTTAGTTAGTGAATTGATCGTATTCATTTCGACTACATACAATTTACGTAAATAATTTCATCTCACAATATCTATTTTATCATATTGTATCTCAAATGAATGCGTCTATTTTTGTCAATAAAACACTTTCCCCTCGTTATAGCTACTTGGTAATCACAATGGATAGACACAGAAAATGTTAATTCTATTTTAATTAATTGATATACTCTTCGAGAGGTAACCACCCAACCAATTCCAATATCATAAATTCATATTTCATGGAACTATTATTATTTATGTAGCTGATTTTCATTTCATAATACTCACATCAAGGATGAAGAATATAATCACATGTCACACAAAATTACACAAATACATCAAATGACAACACAATTGCGTCCAACAACGTCAAAATCTAACATCCAATCCGTCACATAGGCCACAAAATTCGTAATATATTATCCTTTTAATTGGGGAGAGTGAAAAAACACGATAAAATCTTCCAAGGATGATGTTATAGAAGACAAGGTAATCAATGTAGTAGATGAAAAGCTGTTAGAAACAGTTAGGCACTAGGTCAAATTGTCTCATACAAAGAAAAGTTACTATAGCAATCATATTGCATAGATCACTACATATCTGTGTCCAAACCTAGTAACAATTTCCTTTCTTCCTTGTCTGAAATAGACTAATCACCAACCAGATGGGCTTTGCAGTGGATCAATATAATCGAACATGTCCAAGGGGAAGTCATCGATGAAGCTATCTGGGGTAAGGGGGTACTCCAATTCTCTCTGATCTTGTCCTGATGAACACGAAGGAGCAAGAGGGACTTGCACATTTCCTCCTATGTCGGAAGCACTGAACTGCCCAAAATAATCTAACAAGTCATTGTCCTCAAGTTTCATGGGTAATTCTTGATGTTCAAGTGGTTGACCAAAGTTGGTTTGGACTGGAATGTGAGGAAAAGGGAGCGGAAACTGCGGCCAGATGCAGATTCTCTTCTCATTAGGAGTGAACTCAAGTGGAGGCAGTTCTTGATCAAAAGGAAGTGAAATTGAGTTCACTAGCTCTGACAATGGGACCATGTTGATTGTGTCAAAGTTATTCGTATAGGATGATGAGCAATGCTGGGACACGACCAAAGATCTTTCCTCTACGGATGAGTTCAGTTTTGGTTCCTGAAAATTCAAATAGAGAATCCAATCAACAAGTTGAAAGGGAAGAACAATGGAGATAATTACTTGGTGAAAAGCCATAAACATACAACTCTGACCGGTTGAAAGAGTAACAACACTATAATTATCGCCTTTTCTTATCTTAAAACAATGCTTCTTTCTGTATCATCTTAAGAAGTTTTCACCATGCCATCACAAAATGACTACAAATGCAGAAGCTGAGGGGTACAAGGTCCAAACAGGAAAAATGTTGTCAATATTAAAAAAATCAAGATAAGTTTGTTCCAAGCGAAACTCAATGATACTTTAACACAAGGGCTGGTGTCCATCATTGAAAGTGGCAGCGAAGGGAAAGCGACTTCTAACACCATAAATCATTTATAAAGATTAAAGGAAGAAGATAGTCAAAAGAATTGCAGAAAAAGATGCATTCTTCAGAGATCACAAATTTTGGGCTCAAGGGCCTTCCTTTTTTCGAGACATTTTACTAAGGCAGAAGGAAAAAGAGCAGTTTGGATTAAAGTAATGCAGGAAATACGAACATTTCTATTCTAAAACATTATGACGATGAAAGCAACCTGTTCTTCGACAACACTATCAAATAGATACATTCCACTGAGACCAAATTCACATCAGTTCAGTAACTAACAGAAATCAAGAACATCTAATGAAAGAAAAAATCCATTTTGAGAGAAAGATGATAAACCAGAGAGCAAGAATAGTGAATTACCTCTAGTGAGGGAACTTTGGGGAGAGCAGGGGCTTCTTTGCTGATATTCTTTTGTGGTTTACTAGGCTGTGGCACTGAGTTTCGTAGAATCTTAGCCAATCTCTTCTGCCGGCTACTCCAAAAATTCTTGACATCATTGTCAGTTCTTCCAGGCATATACGTAGCAATTCGTGCCCATTTGTTCCCAAATTGTGCCTGAAGTTCAATCACAGTCCTTTCCTCTTCTGCTGAAAACTTCACTCCACTTCTCACAAAAAAAGAAAAGAAAGTGAACACAACAGAAAAGGTATCAACTTCATTTCATCAAATACATTTCCATTATACAGAAACACAAACTATAACTAAGCATAATAACAAACATCTGATATGCATTGTAAATCATCAGTGCTATAGCAGCAAATGACAGCAACTTAAGTGAATTTACAACAAACAGAATAAGTATGGTATCTTAGAAAGAAATAGAGGGAAAACAACAAACCCCTCCATGGAAATACTTCAACATAGAACAAAATCTACACAAAACACCAGCAAATTGGTGAATTCGAAGAACAAAAAAGAAGCAGAAACAAAGAAACACCCTGATTTCCGAACCTCAAAAAAGGGGAACCCCTTGATGAAAAAGCGTCAACACAGAACAGAAATCTGCAATTTTAACAAAATCAAAAGAGCAGAAACAACAAACCCATAACCAAAAACTCAATTTGCAAGCAGTGCAACAAGAAATTCCCACTATTTCTCAACCCAATAAACAAAAGACAGCAAATTTACAATTCTAAGAAGAAAAACAGAGCATTTTGGTAGCAGAAACAAAGGGAACCCCTCGATGAAAATGCATCAATACAGAACAGAAATTCTGCAAACTCTTAACAACTCCACAAATTCAACAAAATAAAACTCGCAGAAACAATAAACCCATAACCCAAAAACTCAATTCGCAAGCAATGCAACAAGAACTTCCCACTTTTCCTCAACCCAATAAACAAAAGACAGAAAATTTACAATTCTAAGAAGAAAAACAGAGCACTTTGGAAGCAGAAACAAAGGGAACCCCTCAATGAAAATGCATCAACTCAGAACAGAAATTCCACAAACTCTTAACAACCCCACAATTTCAACAAAATCAAACTCGCAGAAAAAACAAACCCATAACCCAAAAACTCAATTCGCAAGCAATGCAACAAGAAATTCCCACTTTTTCTCAACCCAATAAACAAAACACAGCAACTTTACAATTCCAACAAGAAAAAAAACCTTTTCTGCAAGAAACCCACCCCAATTTCCCACCCTCAAAAAAAAAAACCCAAAACAGAGAAACCAGAGTAAAAGTTGTTTACTTTTTCAAGTTAGGTCGAAGTTTATTAACCCAGCGAAGACGACAAGACTTTCCAGTACGCTGTAAAAGACCTTTGGATCGAATGGAGCTCCAATCTCTTGGACCATACTTCTTGACATGCTTAATCAACACTTGATCTTCTTCCTCTTTCCATGGCCCTTTCTTTATCTCACTCATTTTCACCAACAAAACCAAATCTTTCGGATCAGAAATTAATCAAATTATCTATACTCTGTTTTTTTAACTTTTGCTGCAGATTTTAAAGTTGGATTATTATTTTTTTGTTTATTTAATGAGATTGTGGGTAGTGACAGTTAAGGCGGTTGTAAGCACTATCTTCCCACCATTTTGCCCAGTTCCCTATTTTTCTGTCCAATTCAAATGTGGGATAAATGGATAAAAAGATAAATTAAACGTGGAACTGAAATTACTATAATGCCCATAATTTCATTGTTGTATACTTTTTTTTTTTTTTAAAAAAAAATTCTTAATTCGTCCGTCGCGATTTATATGACTCATTTTTCTTTTTATCTTTTCAGAAAAGAGATACATTTTTATATTTTGTAACAATTTAATTTTAAATAGTATATATTTTATTCTTAGTGAAATGATTTATGACCACACAAACATCTGACTTATATTATATTATAACTTTTTTTTTTAAAAAGATCTTTTTAAAAGTTTATATCGAGTAAAATTACGTCACATAAATTAAAATGGAGAGTATATAAAAAGTGGGGAGGAGAAATGAGGGAAAGAATTACAAGGTTGAGTATTTAACTTTCTGCAATGAATATTCCCATCATATCAATATACTACTATTTTAGTTTTTTTTTTATATACTATAGAAATATGATTTTCTTTTAGGAATAGAATAAACGAAAATATGCTATAGAAATTAGGATAGAAGAAGTATTATTTTTGTTTATTATGGTTCAAACATATAATATCAAATAAAAAAGAGGTTACATGTTATCCTTGCAATTTAACAAATGATGTATATTTGTCACTCGTTGGGATAATTTTAAATTTTAAAAACGATTTTTAAGATTTTTATTTGGTTCAATAAATATATTGATGTTAGAAGGCATGATGTACATCACTTTTTAAATGAAGATATATTTATTCTAAAACGTAAAGTCGAGGGATATATTTCTTTCTTTTGCAATTTAAAAAATATTTAGATAAAATTTCTTATGAATCAATTGGCTATATATCAACCAAATATTTGATAGACTGAACTAATAAATGAGCGGGTTAATAATTAGTCCATACTCAATTAAGTTGGACAGATTATGACTTTATGGGCTAATTTTATCACATCTATTTTTTTTTCAAATATTAATATTAAAACAGTAATTTGTTCTCGACCAATTTTTTAAAAAGTAGTTTGAAGATTTTTATATTATTATTTTAGCTTTTGAATAACAACTTGTGCTTCTTTTTTAAACGTTCTTGTCAAACACAACTTTCTAAAATATAGAGGCTTCTAAATAATTTGGCAAAATACGCTACAATTTATTTCCATAAATTATTCGACCATAATTTATGAATCAGATTTTACAAAATTATCTAAAAATATTTGCTTGATCATAAATTTTGGATCAACTTTTAAAAATTAATCTATAGAAATAATTCAAGTTTCAAAATTGGTCCTAATTAGTTTTTGGGAGAAATTTCACTTTTACTCACATTTTTTTTCAAGTTAAAAATGCAATTTTAAATTCCAAAAAGGCATAAGTTCAACTTGGTTCTTGCTTCGAACCGTTCCAATTCACAAGTTCATAATCTTTAACTACTGTTAGATTGTGACAAATATATGGAGAAAACAAAATTAAATGTGTACAGAAAGAAAAAAATGCAAGAAATATTATAAATTTCTTGAATTAGTGGATTGTCGATTTACTCAGTAATCCCTAAGTTTTATGGACTATTTCTGATAAGAATCTATCCATTAATTTGAGTATTTAATATAGTGAATATTGAAGTGATTTCTCGACCTATAAATGCGATTGTCAATTTGTCATTAACCATTGCAAGAGACTGTAAGACATTTGAAGTCATTTGAATAAGGTGGTCTCTACATTATACTCTCTATATCTCTTGTCTATGTTTCTTGTTTTGTATTGCTTATATTTTACGACAATTTTTTTAAGCATATATATAGGTAATTGGCAACTAATTATAAATAAGCTAGATAGTCAATTATTTCATTATATTTATAATTAATATATAAATGATTTTGTTACATCATTGATTACAACATCGAACGCATTGGCCTAAATCACAAGCGCAGCAATCATCATCCTTGCACATTGATGTGATAATGCAACCTGAAATACACAAAAACAATTTGTTACATACATAAAAGATAAAAAGATTTTTAAAAAAATTGTATTTTAAAATGAGAAAAAAAAATGTTATATTGAAATTACAACATCAAATATTAATTTTAAACATTCCGAATTTGAATATGATTCTGAGTTATTTAATATCTTTGAATCTATATCTATTCTTAAGTTAGACAATTATTTTTATAGAATTAAATATATTTTAACCAACGAGAGGAATAAGAAAATTATAATATAAAATTTATCAAAATAAATATACCTTTAACAAGAACGCGAGCACTACGACTCGTAGTAGATAGTTTAACTGACATTGTTGTTGATGATGCTTGAGGTGCAGATGATTGCTCTTGTGTTGCCTAAGTTAATGAGGAAAAAAGAACAAACATGATAAAAATCATACATATCATAGATTTGCTTGATTTTGCCATCTCAAACAATTACTTATGATATTTGGAGGAGTTTTCTTTTTTAATTTCTTACTTGTAGCTACTTGGTAATGACTTTTTTTATAGTGAAAATAGAAGGATTTTCAAGTGAGTAAATACATATAATAATTAGGATGCCTTAAATAAATTTGGGCATGTTGAATTAATTACATCTTGTATTTGACCAAATAAAAGGATCCTCTCACTCTCTAATTTTACTTTAATTTTTTTTTTCTTTCTACTTTGAACAATAGATATTTTCTCCTCTATATGCCAATTAATTTTTTAAAATGCACATTCTACTCTACATCAATAATCTTTATTATTTTTACTTCTTTAAAATTATATTAAAAAAATTATGCAACAAATTTACGAATGTAATAAATATTATTTTCCAAGATGAAAAAAAAGAAGTGAAAAATATTAGTGACAAAATGACCCTCTAACCTATTATCGATATTCAATTAGACACTTATACTTCATTAGGGGTCTAATTACCCCTCTGGATTACTTTAAAATGAAATAATCAATTGAGAGAGAATATAATTTGTAATTCACCATGTTATTTTAACATTTCAATACGATTATATGAACATTTTTTATTTTTATCAAATCATTAATATAGCATTATGGTTGTGGTTCTAAAAATACAATTATAATTTCATAATCTCTTTTTTATTTTATTTTTCTATTCATGCTTATATATGTCGTACTCTAGGTTTCAAAGCTATAACGTAGCCACATATAGTTTAGGGTGGTCAGTCAAACACTATTCGTCAAAAATCTATTATATATAGAGAGAGAGAGAAAACTATACAAAGTATATAGGTTAAAAATTCTTTTTCATACATAGATATTAAATCTTGAACATCATTAACAAATTTATGGCTTCGCTATTATTTCAAAGAGAACATAAATTAAAAATAAAGTAATTAAAAATAGATAAACGGTACAATATTTCAAAAACATGCATAAAGGAGTTTAAAACAAATTAGTCCAAACTGTTACAATTCAAATTTTAAAAAATACATAATTATGTGAGGGGGCAAATATATACCATCTATTACTTGATATACACTCTCTTGTTATAATACATAACAAAAGCTTGAATTAAATATCACTCATCTCATATCAGAGTATACAATCACGATATAATCTAACGATTAATTTTCACTTATTCTTTAATATTTTTCTATAATTTCTTTCGGAGAAACTTCTTTTAGTTACATAAATACATTTTATATTATATATAATAATTTATCTTTTAAATTTGATTTTTGACACATATTTTAAATAATTTTGTATATTTTCATAAATTTTTATTCAAGTTTGTTAACATTATAACCAAAATAATCTATTTTTATTTTCATTAATTTCTCATAACAATTATAAAATATACCTCTAATTTTTTAATTTGTGCTGGACCAATTTTTTTAAAAGTACTTTGAAGATTTTTATATTATTTTTTTAGCTTTTGAATAACAACTTGTGCTACTATACTTAATAATACTTCTTTTTTAAAAGTTTTTGTCAAACACAGCTCTCTAAAATATATAGGCTTCTAAATAATTTGGCAAAATACGCTACAACTTATTTCCATAAATTATTCTAGCGTTTGATCATAATTATAAATTAAATTTTATAAAATTATTTTAAACTATTTGTTTGACCATAAATTTTGGATCAATTTTTAAAAGTTTGTCTATAAAAAAAATTCAAGTTTCAAAATTGGTTCTAATTAATTTTGGAGAGAAATTTCACTTTCACTCACATTTTTTTTCAAAGTTAAAAACGCAATTTTAAATTTCAAAAAGGCATAAGTTCAACTTTGTACTTCCTTCGAACCGTTCCAATTCACAAGTTCATAATCTTTAACTACTGTTAGATTGTGAAAAATATGTGGAGAAACAAAATTAAATGTGTAGAGAAAGAAAAAAATGCAAGAGATATTATAAATCTCTTGAATTAGTGGATTGTGATTTACTCAGTATTTTTTAAGTTTTATGGACCGTTTCTGATAAGAATGTATCCACTAATTTGGGTATTTAATATAGTGACTATTGAAGTGATTTCTCGACCTATAAATATGATTGTCATTAACCATAGCAAGAGACCGTAATGCATTTGAATAAAGTGATCTCTACATTATACTCTCTATAAATATGATTGTCATTGATTACAACATCGAATGCATTCGCCTAAATCACAAATGCAGCAATCACCTGAAATACACAAAAACAATATGTTACATACATAAAAGATGAAAAGATTTTAAAAAATATATATTTTAAAATGAGAAAAAAATGTTATATTGAAATTACACATCAAATATTAATTTTAAACATTCCAAATTTGAATGTGATTCCGAGTTATTTAATATCTCTAAATCTATATCTATTCT